AACGCAGTCTTCAGATGCGGTTTCAGTGCAGCAATCAGGTCCACAAGGATCAGCAACTTCTTTGGTAGCTGGAAATTTCACACAGGTTTCCAGTGTGTCCCAACAGCCATCGCATGGACAGCAGCAAACTCAGTCATCACAATTTCAAGTTGCCAAAATTTTCGAAGACGCTGCAGGTGATTTGGTGTTTGATTTGACCTCAAGAGTTTGTCATGGTGGTTCAGTACGTGTTGTGCACTATCACATTGGGGATCATGATGACGATGGACGCTTCGATTTTCCATATGGCGTTCGAACAGTCATTGAAGAACTTCTTGATGAAAGTAACCTCACCAGAATACTTTTGGACTCTGGAGCAGATGCATCAGTTTTTCCAAAATGTTTCTCCTGGAGGCAGGTGTTCCTACAAGCTGCAAAGGCATTCGGCTTTGTGATGCCCAAGGTCGACCAATCCCTGTTGAGGGAACAAGGCTGGTGGAAATTCGACTGCCAACCAGGTCAGGCAGATCGATTTTGTTGAAGGAACGTGTTGCAATTTGTTTTTGAAAATTTCCCAGCCTATTTTGTGCTTTAGACATCTTTTGGAGCAATGGTTTGGCATTGATGGAGTTGTTTGACAAACTCACTCACTCCTTTTGACAGCCAAAGGCCTTGAATGCATACGTCCATCAATTAGTTCTCCACTGATAAGAATGGATATAACGCTTAAAGTGTGCATCTCGGTTTGGGAAGCGGACATGAAAATCCTAGTTACCGCACCCACAGCTGATGAGTATTTACTCACCATGCTGTGCATTTATGCCGAACTTTGCTTTGCAAAATTCGATGCTTCTCACCTTCGCAAAATGCCGCAGGGCCCACTGAGACCCTTCAAATCTCTGCTATTGGCACTTGCGCATACACTCGGTAGCTCCCCTTAGTTCCGTACCAATGACGTGTGCATTGGATCATACGGCTTGGACAATTCAGGGTTCATGACTACCACGATTGTGAAACAAATTCTGGTAGCTGTATCTTCTCTGGTGGGCAACAAGTGCGTGCAGAAACTAAAGGGCCGAACCTTTGTGACATCCAGTATATACATGGTCGCGCTCAATCCTCCACATGACAACATACAAGATCACACCTGCAAAAATCATCAAAACCATGAACATCTTGCCGTACAAACACAAATCATACTCATGAACTGGAGGTTGGCTCAAGGCCTGCTGTGATACAAGGACGTTGCATGTTGTACACACGATTCCTTGCGTCATACCGATGTTGCTCAAGGAAACAAGTTGAACCACTCTCTTCACAATGTTGTGCTGCACGTGCGGGGTCGAAGAAGAATTGGAAAATGAAACATTGCAAATTTGTTTAATGGTCTGTTTGTTCCAGTCGGCTTGGGTTGCTCTGAGGTATTGCGGTTCTCCCATCCTTTCACCATCCAAAAGCATGTTCAACATGTAGCAAAGCATTCTGTGTCTGTCAGCTGGAAGAGTTTTGGTGCCAAGGTCTGCTGGGTTCCAAGTGGTCCCAACAGCTTTGATCTTGATTTGCCCAGACTTGGTCATGTGCTGATCCCACAAGAATTTTCCTTGAATGTGCCTCAATCGGCCTGTTCCCAACTTGTTGGCAATCTGGCGACAAGCACTGTTGTCGACATATACAGTTGCTACAACATTCTTTGAGGGAAACATAAACTCCAACATGTGTTTCAAATACAACGTATCAATGGCACATGAAACCAAAGAGTAACATTCTGATTCTGTATGCCCATGCAAATGGCCAAACAAAGAGGTACCACATCCACCCTTGGACATTCCCAGAGACACGTCCTCATGCAATTTTAGATATCCAATCAAACGACCAAGGTTGTGCCATGCCTGGACAATAGGATTCTTCAACAAAGAAGACAAACTCTTTGCACAAAATTGAATGTCTGGCCTTTCATGCGAAAGATACAAAAGTGCGCCTACCAAAGCACGATGCACAGACGCTTGTCTATCTCCCAAGGTTTCCGATTCGTCGGCATATGTGAAAGCATGTGGTGCGCCTGGTGTCTTACTCAATCTTGGAGGCTTCCCGTTCGCCCGGGAAAAACTTGTTTGATATGTTTGGTTTCATGGCTGATTTCCAATGACTCATAGTTGGGCTCAAACTCATGCACGCGCTTCAAGAATTCAAATGAACCTCCTGACCTCGAAACAGTTTGCAAGGAGATGCGAAGACGAGCTTCCAGCATAGGCTTCACAACGCTGTTCAAATACTGTTCGTCAACATGAACCAACAAGAACCCTTTGTCATCTGGCAGTTTGAATAATGAAGGAACTTCAGCACAAATCTCACAACCCAAGTCTGTTTGCACAAAACTTGAAAAATGATCATACCAACGACGAGCGCCATCACGCTGTCCAGGTAAGCACCTATGAATAGTGTAATTTGCATCTGGACGATCAATGATACGAATCTTCTTTGGTGTTGGTTGATGAACTTGCAAATAAGCATCGTTAATGTCGAATGCTCCCATGATGGCTGTGTCACCGCACAGTTCGCTCATAATCACTGCTGGCAACAACCTGTTGCAAATGCTGTTGGAAGCTGGGGCATAAACATCTTCTCGTGTGTCGAGGAAATTATATCCCCGGGCAACAAGACGAGAACGACGCAACCAATGTGGCTCTCCATCTTTCAATTTCTTTTTGAAAATTCTCACAGAGCGAGCAGTCAAATTGTCCATTTCCAAAATGTTTGTTGCCGAAGAACTCAACGGGTGTAACACACCCATGTTGATCAAACGACCTATTTCGACAGAGTCTGCCAAGTCGTCAATTGTTCTCAAAACTTCATTTGGCAACTCGGGCTCAACATCGGAGAAAGGAAACCAAAGCATGGAATCATCCAAACCTTCCATGGAATGAGCACAAGCAATGAAATCACGATCTGCATCTTCGTGTGTGTCAAATTCATGCCGAAAATCATGTTCCAAGATGCCATCGATATCCAACATGTCTATACCATCCGGAATCAGACATGTGTCATCAACATGGTGCACTTCAACCTGGTTGACAGACAACCTTGAAATTCGAGCGCGTTTGGACGCTGGTTCATCCCCACCGTGTCTATCCTCAGGACACCGCGGTGGGAGCTCTGCAACTTGAACTTCACCAGTACCACTGGTTGGCTGAGAGACGACAGGGCCCAAAGCCAAAAACTGTTCAGGGACACTGGTGCCTTCAATACCCAAGCTTGAAGGATGCATCAATGGATATGGGATTTGGTTGCCATCAAAATCCAAAATCATGCCATCACCCGACACTTGGTCATCAAGATCGGGCACGCTTTCACCAGGAACATCTTCAAAATTCAACATATGTGGTTCAGGTTTCTTGGCAATACCTGGTTTCAATATGCCACCCAATGCTCCTTCAACCATCCAACTGTGAACACCAAATTTCTGATACATTTCAAGTTGAGGTACCCAATCTTTGTAAATACGTTTCACTGCACGGGTCAAGCGAACACTGTTCCCAATGCCAACAACATACATGTCATTGGAAGTTGTCTTGGTCAAGAACAACGCTTTCATCCACTTGGCTGATCCTTTTTGTCGAGGTTCTGCACCAACAAATGCCAAAATTGGTTCAGCAAAACAAGCGATCCGGCCATCATACTCACGTCCACGTACTGCCTCAAAAGGTGTGGCGCCACCTTTCTGCACAAAGCGGTTCAACAACCAACATGCATGCACAAAGCACCAGGAAAACAAAGGATGCGTCACCGGAAATGACATACGAAGTTGCAATTCCAAGTGGTAAATCAATGTCATTGCTTGTTGCCTGACCCGGTTCACCGCATTTTCAACCCACGCATTGCTTCCAGGATCAAGAACCCGGCCATTCTCCAGCAATGTTTCCAAGCCCAGTTTTTGCCTAGCTGTTTGCACCAAGCTTTGCACCTTCATCAAAACGGGCTCAGCATCACAACGCGACACAACTTTCGAATACCCCAGAAATTGCAAAATTTTCATCAACCCCCGACACATGAAATGCACATCTCTTCTCAATGGAACAGGAATTGCAAACACACATCCTGAATGACTGTCATACACATTCAACACCGTCTGCTTGTCCTCAGGTGTGACAGCGCCTCAGGGTTCGGAGAAAGTTCCGGAAGAAGGTCTGGGAGGCTTTGGTGCACAGCCAGGTCAGGTTCAACAGGGTTCCGGAGAAGGTTCCGGAGAAGGCTTGGGAGGCTTTCATCCAGAGCCAGGTCAGTTTCAACAGGGTTCTGGAGAAGGTTCCGGACAAGGGTCCGGGAGACTTCGGCGCAGAGCCAGGTCAAGTTCAACAGGGTTCTGGAGAAGGTTCCGGAGAAGGTCTGGGAGGCTTTGGTGCAGAGCCAGGTCAGGTTCAACAGGGTTCTGCAGAATATTCCGGAGAAGGTTCCAGGAAGCGGTGGTGCAAAGCCAAGTCAGGTACAACGGGTTCCGGGGAAGGTTGCAGAAGTCAAGCCAGGTAGGTTCATTTAACTCACGGAAACCCAGCTGAGGTTTTTTCACCGCTTGGCTTCCCAGCACGCTGCAGAACGATTTATAAAAATAAAATGTTGCTGCTGTTGGGGATACGACCGAAGCCTATTTACCTTGTGTGTGCCGGGGATGTGCGTAATATCGCATGATGTTGCATGGTTGGTTGGTTCAAACACTGGGTTGGGTGCAGCAACGCCGTTTCAAAAACGTGGACTGTTCGTGACTGTTCGTGGTAAATTTATAGTGAATATTTTTCAATGTGGACGAAAATCTGTCGCACGAATGGTGCGCCCATCGTGCCTGCCAGAAACCAATATCAGTCCTGTGATTTCCGGTGTTTTTTCCGCATTGTTTTCTTGCAGTGTCCTTGTCCTAACCAACAGGTAGGTGCAACAGCAACAAATTTTGTTGTGCGTTGGGCTGTCCAGCTCAAGACCAAAAGTGTGCTGCAGTTGCTGTTATTGATATTCCTGGGCTGCTTGGAGCCATGGCATCCGCACGTGGCTCGCCAGTTCGGCCAGTGGTGTCAAGAGTGAAATTGCCACAGCCAGGGCGTGGACAGGCCGGACTTTTCACATGTCACGTTCCTCACAGAAAGTCCTTGGCTTACAGTGCTGAGATTTGGATATTTCATCATGTTTCTTTTTGTTCGTCAACTTTGTGTAACAGTGCCTTAAATATGAACGATTTCACATCAAATGTCATTGGTAGGCGTTGACGATGGTTCCACCCGTACGCCGTATGTTGTTGGAACATAAAACGAAAGAAAGCCTTGTGTATATTTTCCAACGCCAGCAATGTTCAAAAAGTTCAGCAGATCATTTGGTACCAAAATGATTGGAAAAAATGGCGGTCTTAAATCCTAGAGGTGTCATATAATAATCAAAAGAAAAGGATGGCAGCGTTGTATGCCCAATGTTAAACCACCCCGAGTACAGTATCCCCCAGAAAGTGGTGACACGAACCCCTGCCAAATTGGTGGTTTATCATTGCCGGAGTTCTATTATTTCGAGTTTTAATTTCATCCCATTATACCCAATCATAATAATAATAACAATGCACTTTGTTATATCTATAATATTCTATGAATTCCCATCATAAATGAAAGTTAATATGCAGTGTCGCTACCAAAAATCTTAAAACACTTCCTGGGCCTAGGCATGGTTAAGTTAATATGAGTTAATATTAGTTAATCCCTCCATATCAAACATGATCAAACCGCCAGGTGCGCGTCGCCGACATTACGGCAGGCTCAGGCTGCGCCGATCCTGGGCCCAGTTCGCGCTCCAGCGCCCGTTCCCCGGCGCGCTCGCTGCCCACACCTGTCGTGGACTCGTCGCCAGGCTGTGGCGGGGGACTAGACATGAATGGATGTCATGGGCAAATCCTCGGAAAAAATTGGGAAAATATGGGAAAGCCCTCTATAAATAGAGGTGTGTATGAAAATCACCTATCAATAGTATACATACGTAAGTGTTTACTGCCATGCTTAATTACCAGATGAGACTTTCGTTCTATTTCAATGGGGTTTTGCGTCTTGAATCGTGGGAATTGTTGTGAAATATATTCAAAAAAAACAGCAAAAAACTTGTAGTTTGATGGGGTTGAAACCATCCGTCTATTTTCATACGGTTTGGAATCGGGACGTTTCAATTCGGTACGATTTTAGCTGATAATAATATTAATATAATATAATAATATATAAAATAATATAATAATTTATAAAATAATATAACGATATATAAAATAATATAATGTAACATAATATAATATAATATATTATGATTTAATTTAATATGATATGGTATAATATCATTTATAAAACATAATTCTATATGTAATGCAATATTATTTATAAAATATAATGTTATATGTAGTATTTGTTTTGTAATATTGAATAATGATATTTAAAATAAAATGAAATGAATAATTAATCTCATTTTTAAAATAAGATAAATTACAAAAAGTGAATATATTATAATGTAATTTAATACAATATAATATTATGTAACGTAATGAAATGTAACATAGTACAATAAAATATGGAATATTGTCTAGCTTTATATGTAATATAATATATAATAAAAAATAATTTTATATGTAGTATAATATACAAAATATTTTGTAAAATAATGTTGAATATAATATGTAATATCATATTGAATGCAATTTTGAAAAGAAGAAATAATACAATATATAGAAACAAAATACACACGGAGTTTTTTTAATATAATGTAAAAAATAAAAGAGTATAATAAAAATATATGTCTAATGTAAATTAAAGTAGAATTCAATATAATATAATATTCAATATTTTAAAACAAAATCAATAATATAATGTAAATAGTTTAATATATAACAAGATATAGTATATAATATAAAATAAGAAAGCCTTCCAGATAATATTTAATATATGATATTATAAAAAAAGAAAGATATGGAATTTGAAATGATATAAGTAATAAAATAACATATAATCACAAAATATAGTTTAATACAATATATATAAAAAACAATATAATATAATGTAATATAAAGTAATACTATAGAGTACAAAAACAATAGTTTTTACAATGTATAGTATAATAAAATCATCCTTAAAGTAAAGATAAAAGTTAAAATTATAGATAATATAATATTTACGAAAATATAGCAATTAATATTCAAGATACTATAAAATATATTATATATATTGTTTTTAATTTAATTTAATATGATATGTTCCTTTATATAAAAAAATGATATACCATATCATCTAACCTAACAATATATAGTATTTAATTTAAAAATGATATAATACAATATTATACTGCATCTAATAATATAAAAAAAATATGATTTAATTTAGTTTCAAATATAATATGATATGGTTTAATAAAATATCATTGAAAACCGTAAGATAGTATAAGATATAATATTTAATAAATTATAGGATATAGTATTTAATTTTCTATATGTCATATGATATGATATAATGTAATATAACAAAAATCGTCCAAATTACAATTGAAAACGCATCATATTATATATAATATAATTTGAAATAAGGAAAAATAATATTATATATGTATATATATATTCTATTGTATTTTACTTTATTATATTATATTTTTCTTAATGTAATATATAGATTTCATTATATATATATATTGTATTGCATTGTATTGTATTGTATCGTATTGTATTGCATTTTTTGTTATTTTGTTGTATTATATAACATATTGTTCTATAACAGTATATATATATAATCTTAAACTTTTGGATTTGATTTTTTACTTTTCTCTGTGGGAGTTGCGAAATCGTTGGTTCGAGATCGGGCATGGGTGGAAGGCATGGAATCGGGAGGTGAGTGTCCCTAGGTATGATCAAACAGTGTTATTTCCGTTTCCATTTCCATGTCTATACATGCATCGCCATCCGAAATACCATGTGACATGGGAAAACATCAGCTTCGGGTCATGTTTCTTTGGCGAAAGGACCCGTGATCGCTCGCAATGTCCGCACGCCTGAAATGCGACATGGAACAACGCTGGAGAGCATCCATTCGATGCACACCTCCATGCACACATCAATGCACACCTCCATGCACAGATCGAACTCCGAGAACGTGCTGGAAGATGGGATGCACATAATTTTTTTTGAGGGTATATTTTGTGTTGTAAACAGCAAACGAGTTTGCGTGATGATTTCTTTTCATAAACTTGAACATGGTTGGCACATGTGACTAGCATTCTCCTGATAACGTTTTTGTTGCATTCAGGTACGGTCCTTGCAAAGAACCGAATCTTCACATGCCGGTCGAGAAGAACCAGATGACATCGTTCTGAGATCCTTGCCAAAATTGGCAGCTGATGGGAGGCCCCCAATTTGATATAGTTTGTTCACTTCGCTCAATTTAAATCGCCTAGCACCTACCCTAAACTTTCGTTGGGTAAATTCCTTCCATGCATGGGAAAGTCCGACTAACTATTTTCTTCATTGCTGGGACCATCACATCTAGCTCTCGCCAAAAGAAAAAACATAGTCGATGATACAATGCCCAGTGAAAAAATTGTGGTTATGCTTACAACATCTTACAACATTTTCCATTCGTCAGCCGAAAGAAAAAATAGGTATGCCTGTCATGCTGGTTATCATCACGTTGGTTGGCCAGCTGGTTTTTTCGAAATTTTGATGGATCACTGGACCCAGGCAATCCTGACAGTGCTAGCGAGATGCACAGCACGCAGGGATTTGAAGCGTCGCTCGGGAACTTCCCAAAGATCATTGAAGGTTTGGCCAAAAGTGAATGCCAGCCTGAATGAGGATATTCATGGGAAATCGTGGGGATATAATCAAAATATGGGTGACATGTCAGTGTGTTCAAAGGTAGGTGGGGGTTGCCCGGTTACCCTGATTTATGGCAAGTTTGATAGGAAGCTGGTCAACCGGGGGGTTTTGGAGTAGCCCAATTCTTGCACAATTCGCTTTCAGGTTCACATGGTTGGCAGTCCTACATGTTTTTTCTTTGAAACGGTATGTGCTATCCACTGCTGAAGAGGTGCAGTTTTTTTCCCATATGGCTACAATTCTATTTTGAAGGTATCCTGGTTGGTACCTGTGCTGCCTAGGTCGTTGCCAGCTGCCAGTGTTTGGAATCCTTTGCCTGGAAGCGATTGGGCCGAGTTCGAAACCGATTCTGCAGATGTCCTTGTGCCCGTAGCGGCCAGCCATCCATCAACACCAGTGGCACAGCCAGCCGTGACCACTGAGACACCGCCAGTTTCACGGGTTCATTCTAAATTGGATTCATTGCAGGCACAGACGGTGCAGCCGGTACAGCCGGCCCCAGGTGCCCAGCCAAGCCAGTCCGCGGCGTATCCTCGGAGTTTACCGCTCTCCATGTCCAAAATTTCGCAGGAGTCTGGGAGACAACGAAGAACGCCTTCCCGACAGTCTTCACGAAGGTCGAACTCGCGCGGCCTGGCTTGAGTGACCCTTTGAATTTTCAGTTTGGTTTGACTTGGTGGATCTTGGTGGAGCAGGTTGTTTTGGTTCCAGTTTGCTTCAATCTTGACATGAGTTATGTCTTGGCTTCGCTGGATCAACGTGAGGTCCTGTGAGGGGAGCCTCGAAGGAACGTCCACAGTCTGAACCGCCACATCAAGCAACCAGCTTGAGCCAGGGCCAAGGACGGTTGCCAGAACTGCTCGGCGAGATCGAAGATCATTTATTGCAGAAAACGGTTCGGCCACCAGAAGACGCCAGTGGTTGGTTGAAAGAGACGGCACAACTTGAAATCTACGCAGAGGACCTGAAAGAGGGCCATTGACGGCATTTGCATCACAGTCCTTGGTGATGAAGAACTGCATTTTCTTATAGTTCCGAGAGAGATTACGCGAGAAGACATGCCCAGATGCTCTTTTCCATGTGGCTCGCTCTCTCACTAGCAGTAGATAATGCTCTTGTATATATATATATATAGACCAAGAATGTTTGGGAAGTCAGGACGGACATGCAGAATTGTCGACATGCAGCGTGTTTCTGCCATAGAGCCCCCATGTGTTGGCGCAGGAGATGCGAAACTTGTTGCAGACCTTTGAGGCGTTGATAGCAGAAGCTGCGTTGGGTACATGTATGGAGATTCCCACCAAGATGAACAAGTAAGTCCCTAATAATTGGACGGTGTTTATAGACATACCTGTCCACCTACCTGCCTACCTACATACATAGATAGATAGATACATAGATAGATACGTTGTAGACACACACAAACATACGTACACACACATGTATACATACATAGACAGATAGATGATATAGGTTCAAATAACTGTAGAAGGTAGATATAGGTAGAGAGAGAGAGAGACGGATAGACTTATAGATATAGATGTGGGTACAAATGTAGACGTAGATATAGGTGTGAATATAGATAGATATATTGAAATATACTCGTAGACAAGTTTAGATGCAGATAGACATCGACAAAAATAGATATAGATATGGTATATATATATATATACATAGATATTGGTTCCATGGATAACTATAGATACGGACACACACACACAAATATATATATATATACATATACATACGCATATACATACACTGTACATTTACATACACATATACTTATACACATACGTTTCAATATACATATACATATGCATATACATAGACATAGACATGGACCTACCTACTCGCCTACCTACATACATACCTACCAACCTATATACATACATACAGACAGACAGACATACAGACACGCACGCATAAATACAAACATACATACGTACGTACGTACATACATACATTACATTACATTACGTTACGTTACGTTACATTACATTACATATTACATACACATAGATACATAGATACCTAGATACATAGATACATAGATACATACATACGGAAATACAGACACACACACACACCCATGCATACACACACACATGCATGCGTACATACATACATAGATAAGATAGATAGATAGATAGACAGATGGATAGATACGTAAATACAGAAAATACGTAGATACATAGATCCATAGCTACATAGATACATAGATACATAGATACATAGATACATAAATATACATAGATACACTCAGACACACATAGATACACATGCATACACATACATATACATACATATACATACATATACATACATATACATACATGTATATACCCGCATTTGCATACATATGCATACATATACAAACATAAACATGCAACATACATAGATATACATAGATATACATACATACACACGCATACATACGCACACATACACATACAGACATACGCGCACAAACACACACACACACACTACACATACACTTATAACTTCATCTATGCATTGATACCTAAATACATAGATACGTGGACACAGACGTTCTTCGGACATCCATACCAGGCCTTAGATATAGACAGTAGATCTACCGTATGTCCATCTTTTTGGGGACCCAAATGGCACTGTGGAATGGCTGAAGGCGCGACCTCGGAACGACGCTGATCCGGGGAGGGCACGGGCCCCACGGGCCCGGGCAGTGCATGCGAAGCCGGCAAAGCCGGTGGAGTTTTCATTGCTGCGTGCTGTCCTCAGGGGAAGACAGACCTTGCGACGCTTGCGAACACGGAAGTTTGATTTCAGCTTGTGAGTTGGATAGCGGAGGTGGTGATAAGGAGCTCCGATGGGCCAAACAACAGCTGAAGAATTGTAGCTTTGCCAAGAATGGGAGAGGGTGGCGAAGGGGGAGACACTCAGGGATTTACACCTCATGACGGGGGCAACTACCCAGATTGATCGGGTGGCTTACGGCGTTGTATAGGTTGTGCCTGGTACCGACATCAACCTGTCTTTAATTCTCAACATTTCAGGTGCTCGTCGTTGTTCGGAATCGAGGGTACCATTTCTCACAGTGATGCTTATCACGCTTATCATATCCCTATTTTATTGCTCTTGGGGTGGTCCTCAATGAACCAACTAGTGACTAGTGATTTATGACCTGTTGGGGTGCTCCAACCCAGAATCACCCTTGCATTCCATCCCACTACAAATCCGATGACCCCATCCCCCTCGGCAATGAACAGATTTAAGGGATTAAGGATTGGGAATATCCTGACCAGAAATTCCGTCAAAGTTTGCGCGTCAGCAACCCAAGCTGTGGCTTCTGAATCCCAAGCACCTTCAGCAAACGCATGCGGAAGTCCACACGATGATTCAACGCACCATGCAACTTTCACAGTCCTAGACTTTTAGCCCGGCACTATGTAGCCAGCCCTTTGGAAAATTACTATTTCGAGAGTTCGCAAGTGGATTGACAATTGCACCTGCTACATGGTGACTGGAGGTGAACGCGAGTATCAGCACCTTCAGCAACTCTTGGGCAGCAGTGAGAAGGAACTGGTGGAAGAACTGCGCCAGGCGATGAGATGATCTACATCTATGTCTATATCCATATGGTCCATATCTACTTCTATCCCGAATCCCTACATTTATATTTACATCTAAGTCTACGTCTATATCTGTATCTGTATCCATTATATAATCATGATATATATACACACACACATATATATATATATTCATAATGTTGAGCTTGATGTTGAGCTTGATGTCGTGCTGGAGGTACAGGAGTCGTTGGAGCAAGAGAAGAGAGTCTTGGTGACAAGTTGCACTCTAAGCCTGGCCCATGTTTAAGTCAATTGGCTAGGTAGCCTAGTCAATAGCTGGTTAATGGATGTGACTCCCCCAAAGATGTGATTTTCATAGGTTTTGATTCATCCCCAATTCAAGTCTCTCCATTTTTTTTGGGGCCTGTCATTCACAACTGGTCGACTTCGGCCCCGAGCGTCCCCAACTTGTTCTTTTCCACACTTCTTCCAATATTTGGCCAGTTGCCAGCTGTTTTGTTTCCTATCATTTTTCTATCATGTTTCCATTACTTCCATTCAATCTTCCCATTTCTGGTTGCTTAAATCATCTTAAGTCCATATATCTGGGAAAAAAACCAAAAATGGATTCTATTTCCATTCCCATTCCCATTCCATTCCATTCCACTTGGCGAAGCATATACATATTCATATATATATATAAATAAACACAGTACATATTCATGGCTTCTATTCCATACACCACAAAGGAAAGGTGAAGCACTTGGAGCGCGAAAGCCACAAGCGCGAGCGCAGCATGGCCCGCGTGGCGGCCCGCGCCGGCGGTGGGGAGCTGGGCGTCCTGACCGCGGACGGCAGTGTGCTGGCCATGCGGGAGGCACCCGATAATTGACCAAGGGGTTGACCAAAAACCTTGCGATTTTCATATGTAACCACAAAAAATAATCACACACATTTTTTTAAAATATGAGTTCCGAAAACAATATATGAGTTCAAAAAATAAGCTTCCGTGGTATCCCCAACAGCCGCAACGTTTTATTTTTACAAATATTTCTGAAGCGTGCTGCGAAGCCAAGCGCTGGAAACACCTCAGCCTGCTCCAAAGCCTCCCAGACCTTCTCCAGAACCTTCTCAGAAACCCTGTTGAACCTGACCTGCCTCTGCACCAAACCCTTGGCTTTGCACAAAGCCTCCCGGAACCTTCTCCGAAACCTCCTTCTCCGGAACCTCCTCCGGAACCCTGTGAACCTTCTCCGAAACGGCTCTGCAACCAAAGCCTCCCATACCTTCTCCGAAACCTTCTCCGGAACCCGTTGAACCTGATTTGGATTTGCAACAACCTTCTCCGGAACCTTCTCCGAAACCTCCTTCTCCGGAACCCTGTGAACCTTCTCCGAAACGGCTCTGCACCAAAGCCTCCCAGGCCTTCTCCGGAACCTGCTACGGAACCCGTTGAACCTGACTTCGATTTGCACCAACCTTCTCTGGAACCTTCTCCGGAACCCTGTTGAACCTGACCTGGCTCTGCACCAAAGCTTCCCTGACCTTCTCCAGAACCTTCTCCGGAACCCTGTTGAACCTGGCCTGACTCTGCACCAAAGCTTTCCAGACCTTCGCCGGAACGTTCTCTGGCACCGTGTTGAACCTGACCTGCCTCTGCACCAAAGCCTCCCAGACCTTCTTCGGAACCTTCTGCGGAACCCTGTTGAACCTGAGCTGGCTCTGCACCAAAACCTTCCCGACCTTCAAAGCCTCCCAGACTTTCTCCGGAACTTTCTCCGGAACCTTCTACGGAACCCGTTGACCCTGACTTGGCTTTGCACAAAGCCTCCCAGAACCCTCTCCGAAACCTCCGTCTCCGGAACCCTGTGAACCTTCTCCGAAACGGCTCTGCACCAAAGCTTCCCAGGCCTTCTCCGGAACCTTAGCTTCTACGGAACCCATTGAACCTGACTTGGATTTGCACCAAGGCTTCCTGGAACCTTCTCCGGAATCTTCTCGGAACCTGGTTGAACTTGACAGACCTTCTCCGAATTTGACCTGGCTCTGCACCAAAGCTTCCCAGACCTTCTCGGAACCTTCTCCGGAACCCTGTTGAACCTGACCTGGCTCTGCACCAAAGCTTCCCTGACCTTCTCCAGAACCTTCTCCGGAACCCTGTTGAACCTGGCCTGACTCTTCACCAAAGCCTCCCAGACCTTCTCCGGAACCTTTTGCGGAACCCTGTTGAACCTGAGCTGGCTCTGCACCAAAACCTCCCCGACCTTCTCCAGAACCTTCTCCGGAACTTTCTCCAGGACCCCGTTGAAGCTGACTTGGCTTTGCACCAAGGCTTCCTGGAACCTTCTCCGGAAACTCCTCCGCAACCCTGTTGAACTTGACCTGGGTCTGCAACAAAGCCTCCCAGACCTTCTCCGGAACCTTCTCCGGAACCTTCTCTGGAACCTTCTCCGGAACCTTCTCCAGAACCTTGTTGAAGCTGACTTGGCTTTGCACCAAGGCTTCCGAAACCTCCTTCTCCAAAACCCTGTTGAACCTGACTTGGCTCGAGGCTCTGCACCAAAGCCTCCCAGGCCTTCTCCGAAACCTTCTACGGAACTCGTTGAACCTGACTTGGATTTGCACCAAGGCTTCCTGGAACCTTTTGCGGAACCTTCTCTGGAACCCTGTTGAACATGACCTGGCTCTGCACCAAAGCTTCCCAGACCTTCACCGGAACCTTCTACGGAACCCTGTTGAACCTGACCTGACTCTGCACCAAAGCCTCCCAGACCTTCGCCGGAACCTTCTCCGGAACTTTCTCCGGAACCTTCTCCAGAGCCCTGTTGAACCTGACTTGGCTGTGCACCAAGGCTTCCTGGAACCTTCTCCCGGAACCTTCTCCGGAACTCTGTTGAACCTGACCTGGCCTGCACCAAAGCCTCCCAGCTTCTCCGGATTTTTTTCTGGAACCGAACTTGACCCGGCGCCTGCACCAGTGCACACCGGAGCTATTCTGGGCTGAAGACCCCATTAGCTTACGCTGTTGGGGAAAAAGGTGCGTTTCACCACCATACATATAGATGAATGGATATGTATTTTTCAAAGCGTGCGTTTGACCACAACAAAATGGTAGTTAATTTTCAAAAAGATGCACAAGTTTTTTAATTGTCAAAAACCATGGAGATTGAAAAACACACAGGGATTTCACCATCAGAAATGGTCAAACATGAAGACGTTGATTAATCTAACACAAATCAACTATACAAACAAAACCGTATCCACCTATATACTATATAATGTTACCACTCCGAAGATATTCAATGACGATATGGACAATCGTGGTGTATCCAGGTATCCCTTTGTAATCCCATGAAAGCCATTCAGCTGGGTTATTGAATCCATGTGATGGTCAACCACATCGCCCGAGTTTGGGGGAAAAAATATTAAAAAGGTATATTGAGTGAAATTTTTAGAACTTAAATTATAGCAGTAAAACAACTCGAAAATTATTCACAAAAAAAACATAGCAGTCTAAAAGGTCATTTTTAAGGAAATAGTATTTACGAAAATTAGTATGGATTGTGTGAAGGATTTGCCTCTGGAAGTGTTGAGTAAGATTGTGTCTTATAAATCGGAATACCCTGAATATTTGAAAATCAAATATTGCCATATTGAGGCATTAAAGAGAATACAGAACAAATATAGAATTACAAAAACTCAACCAAAAATTACAACATACAGATTAAGAAAGGGAAACAAATCAAAAAAAAATCATTAGACAGTAATGTGTAATGAGAGAAGGTGTGCCATTCACGATAGACAGCATTGAAAAAATGATACTGAAAGAGGAAGACGAGTTGCGTTCTTTGACATATGAAGAAATAGAAAATAATTTAGATTTTAAAGTGAAACTTGAAGTAATGGCGGAAATAGTAGCAAGACACCCTGACATATAATACGAACACGATGAGTTTGAACACCACGCTTCAATTGGTATTGTTGATGGTAGTGATGAAAATAACAGTTTTCTTCCTTTACTCGATTTATCAAAAGACTTGACGAAGGAGATTAGAATAGTCCGACGGCAAATCAAAATCATTGGAATTCAGGCATTTACTTTCAAACTTACCATTTTGGAATATTGCATAACATAATTTTAATAATAACATTCTTAAAATTATGGAATGTTAAAATAGGATCATTAAAGGGTAGGGGTTTATACTTATTGTGGTCTATTGTTTGTTGTTCTTTGCTTGGTTTGTTGGTTGTTTTGTTTTGGGTATGGATTGAATGAGGTAATGATGTCTTTAACTGGTCTGATTTCTATAAGATGGATGGGGTAGAAAGGTTGTAGGTTGTTCTGATTTATGAAAATGAATGAGATGATGATATGGTAAGTAGTGATGTTTTTTTTTGAAAATGAATAAGGGTATGATGAATTGACTGTGATGGTTTTTATGAAATGAATGAGGTAGAGGAAATGGTAGGTGGTTATGATTTTATGGAATGAATGAGGTAATTATGTGCATTGACTGCTATGATTTTTGAAAATGAATGAGGTAATTATGTATTGACTGCTTTGATTTTAGAAAATGAATGAGGTAATTATGTATTGACTGCTTTGATTTTAGAAAATGAATGAGGTAATTATGCATTGACTGCTATGATTTTAGAAAATGAATGAGGTAATTATGTATTGACTGCTATGGTTTTAGAAAATGAATGAGGTAATTATGTATTGACTGCTTTGATTTTAGAAAATGAATGAGGTAATTATGTATTGACTGCTATGATTTTTTTGAAAATGAATGAGGTAATTATGTATTGACTGCTATGATTTTTGAAAATGAATGAGGTAATTATGTATTGACTGCGATGATTTTCGAAAATGAATGAGGTAATTATGCTTTTGAAAAATGGAAGAGGTAATTGTGCTTTGACTGTTATGATTTTTCATTTAAGTTTTGATATTGTTGAAAAAATGGAGCAGTCAACAATATTAAAAATGACCGTTTAGACTGCTATGTTTTTTTGTTTATAATTTTTGAGTTGTTTACTGCTATAATTTAAGTTTTAAAAACTTCATTCAATCTATATACCTTTTTAATATTTTTTTTTGGGACCATCAGCAGGTTTTGGTCCCACAGGTTGGCAACCCGAGTTGATCCACCCTGAGCAGGTTGAACGACTTGAAGCAGAACTGGAGGTGTACCAAATGAAGAATTCATCTCTGACGAAGCAGGTGCAGCATGGTGCAGCACACACACAACATGCTAGGACATTTTATGACGCAATTCCCTTTCCCGAATAAGTTGAATCATACTATTTTCCCACACATCGCTCACCTAAACGAACAGATCCAATATGACTTTAGCTGCAGGCTGATGGAGAGAATGCTAATCCAGGCTTTTTAGGGGGAATGGTAAGGGATATGCTGGGGTTGTACTGTAACCCATGAAAATTTATGCAAGGTTGATCCAGGACCCTATCAGGCCCCCCACTACAGTTCCAAACATTTTTTTTCCAAGATGTGAGTCATAGGTGATGTTTCCTCCATAATTTCTACTTGGGGATTGCTATAATTGGCAATTTGTATTGTGCTTGGCGATCTGCCAGTCATGTGGATGATGGGTTATTCAAATTAATGATCATGATGAACCAAGAAAGATTAACACTATTTTCCCACTAAGTTTCTCATGTTAACACTATTAGTAAGATATAGTAACACCATATGTTAGAATTATGCTTGATTTGCTGCGCATATCTGCTGCAAGGTGGAAAGCGAACGCCATCGGCTTGAGCAGGCCATGCAGAGTCGTGACACGCAGAATGCCAAGTACCAGGCACTGCTGGCGCGACTGGAAAGTGAGGACTGAGCCAATGTGCTGACGACTGGATGATTTTTGTTGCTTTTCATCGATTTTCAGGATTTTTGTCTAGGGTTTTGATGGATTTTCTAGATTTGTCGCGGATTTTCGTGTTTTTTCGGTGTGTTTCGTGGATTTTATAGATTCTTGTGCTTGATTTTGCATTGAACTGGATGAACTCACCACGTCTCATTGACCCTGCCACGGAGGACACCAAGAAACGAATGGCTGAAGAACGGAAGCAGCAGGATAGCCAACAACAACAAGAGGATCAACTTCGGGCCGAAATCCGAAGCTTCCAATGAATCAACGTCTGTGTTTTCCCACATCACAGAGGTCCACTTTTTTTGGCTTTGACAGTTTTGACCTGTTCATGGTGGATGCAGTGCGAACAGATTGTGATAGAGCACTTTATAGCACTTTGCCAATTTCCTTCAGAGACTTTTTTGATTTTCCTTTCAAACTTCAGTGTTCAAAGGGTCAAAATCCCCACGCCAAGGACAGCTCCAGGAGGCAAGGAGGATCAGCGCACGCAACACGGAGCGCACACTGAAAGAGCGGCAGAGACGGTTGGAAGAATTGCGACAAAAGCAAAGTGAATCTTGGAACCGCTTTTGTTGAAATGATGGCTTTCAAAAAGGTGCATTTTTATTTTCAAAATGCATATATATATATACACATACATACATACATAAAATAATAATGACAATAATAATAATTAATAATAATATACACATATATACATATAAAATAATAATACACACAAATATATATATATATACAATAAAGATAATAATCATACGTATATATGATAATTATATAATATATAAAATATTTTTATTTGTTAACAAGTATGCTTTAATATGATTACTAAATGGTTAGTGTGGTTAGTGTATGATTCGTATTTGGTTAGTATGGCTAGTCTATGGTCAGTACATGGTTGAAATGATGGTTTGTAAATGGTTAGTACATGATTAGTGCCTGGTTAGTATGTGGTTAGGGGGTTTAGGGTTTGGGGTTCGTCGTCTGGGAAATCTCAAAATTCAAAACACTGGCCCTGCGCAGGTTTTTGAGCATGTTGAAGGATCATGTTTAAATGCCATTTGAACGTTCCAGGCAACACTCTGTGCCTGGCCGTGTTGTTAGTGTAATTCCCCAACAGCGTTAGCCTCAGCCCAGATAAGGTTCGGTGCAGCTCCTGGTGCAGGTTCCAGGCTGGTCCGGTTTCGGAAGGTTCCAGTGGAGGGTTTGTCGCTGGTTCCGGAGGTTCTGTCGTTGAAGGTTCTGGTGGAAGATTCCGTGACAGGTTGTGGGGAAGTTTCGGGGAAGGAATGTTCCGGCGACATTTTGGTACAACGTTCCGGTGGAAGGTTCTGGGAAAGCTCGGGCAAGTTTGGTAAAACTTCGGTCAGACTGATGTGGCATTGGATGCATCATGCATATTTTGGCGTCGATTGGGATTATGAAGCTCCAGTGTGGGTTCCGATGTTGGTTCCGGGATGGTTCTGGGTGTTTCTGGAGGTTCGAGTGTCCTGGTTCCGGAGGTTCCGATGCGGTGCCTCCGGAGGTTCCAATGTGGTTTCTGGTGAGGGTTCTGGCGTGGGTTCGGGTTTGGGTTCCGGTGTGAGTTCCGGGATGGTTGGGTTGAAAGTTTCATGCAACTTCCTCAAAGTCGGTTCTGGTCCTTTCAGGGGATCAGACTGTCAAGCTGCTACGCTGGATGATCCAACTGAAAGCGTGGCAAAGTCACCATGGATGCTCATAGCTAGGAAATCTATCTCATGAAATCTCCCAGCAACTGAAGTGTCAGTTCAAGATCCTTCAGAACCCTGCCCGAAGTTCCCTAAGTTCCCCAATTATCCCAATTTCCCTAAGTATCCCTATACTTCCCTAAGGGAGCATCCCAAGCCCAAGGAACATGAAGGCTACTTGCTGCAGTTGAAATCCTCTGAGCAGCAGCTTCGACGTCGCTCCTCCGCTGCTTCGGAGGCCGCCCCAGGGCGTGCTGAGCGCAAGACCACGGGGCATGCTGAGCGCAGGGATAGCCGGGAGGCAGCCAAAGGATCTGAAACTTGCTTCAAAATTGGATGATTTAGAATATCTAGCTAATTCTACCTCTACCATCACACACTTATATAGATAAACACACCCACATGTCACATATATGATATCACACACACACATATATATATATACACATATACATACATATACATGTCGTATGTATATTATGATTATATCTATCTGCATGCTTTTTTTGACAAACAAACAGGCAAACACAGCATACGTACGTACCTATAGATAAGTTGGAAACAGGGCCTTCAACTTTGACTCATGTGGGGCGCACTATGGCTCAATCATTTGCTTCAAGAACCGGAAACGGCAACTGTTGTGCGTGCATTGGTGCCTCATTTTGCCTTTTGCTACCGTTGTTTTCAGCCACAGGTTTCTGCGCAAACCTTGCTGCCCGGCACATCTGTTGTGTGCGCGGATGTGGCGCCAAAGACGGATTTGCGCGAGGAGAAGGCGGTCGTGGAAGAGCAGGTTGCAGATGCTGCAGATGTGCAGGATGGAGGCGATCCACCAGCCCCCGAAGCGGATGCAGGAGTCTTGGGGTGACATTACCGTCTGGTCATTTGACATAGGAAAATTCTTCTATAAATGGGGGGTCTATCGTTTTTTTGATCTTTGATTTGTTTACTTCTGATTCACGACGTGACTTTGAAGAACCGCTCCGTCCAAGTCAAGCCTTGTTTCGAAGATGTGCGTCAGGAAGTGCGACCAGTGAAGCATGACCAGCCGATCAAGGATTGCAAGCGGCCTGGGATGGCAACTCCAGGTCCGGCAGTTAGTCGCTTGGGCGGTGTCTCCCAAATTTGCAATTTTGCTGTTTGAAGAGAGGCAACAGTTTATCAATTTGAGGCCAATAGTATTATAGTACTAACCAAAAGGAGTTTATGAATTTGAGGCTGACAATATTACAGTATGGCCCATGGACAGCGCATGCTTGGAGATTGCACTGCTCTCCGGAGAATGTTGCTGCTTTTCACTAGGCAATTAGTCGGCAATTAGGTCTTTTTTCCTGGATCCATATCCATACCCATATCTGCCATATATCCATTTAACTTGGTTTGAGCTTTCTACCCCCTCATTTGGAGCACCTCGGTCTGCCCGCGAGAAGCCAAGCTTCGCCAAAGCTGCCGGCGCAGGCATGCTGGAACATGTGGCGTAGTTCTCACCTATAGAAGGTGTTTCCAGTTCCAGCACGGGGGCACATATGTCCCAGATGCATGACCGCGATGCAAGAAGTATCACGCAAACATATTACACGTGAATATTCTTCCTCAATTCTCTTGTTCTTGTTGCACTTTTGTTGCTGTTTTCTGAAGAGGTTACCTCCCCCATTCTATATATTCTATGCCGCTCAATCTTCCAGAGATGGCTGTGTTACTGGCCAGGTGAGCTGGGAAGACCGAGGCAGGATGAGAGGGCTTTTGATGGAACTTCTCCCGTCCCCTATCTATAACCCCCCTAAATTGGCACAAGTGCTAAACTACTGTCAAGGTTTCTACTAGCAGGGGCGCGTCGAATCAATAGAAGGGATGTAGATGATATAGAATCCCCTTTCTGTTGCCCAAGCCTGGCGCCCCACTTACTGTGCGCCGAAGGGGTTGGGGAATGAGCAATGCATGATGTATTCGAACAATGTTTGGGCCTTGAAGCTGCTGTCAGGTTGGAGTGTTTTGAGGCTGACGGTTTCAACAATGCGCGTCTCTTCCTCATGGGTGCATCCCAGTGGAGACCGATGGTGTCCGATGGTGGCTAGTTGATTCTGGTCACCTCCTTGGCTGAAATGGACGCCCCACTGGTGTGCTCACAACACGCCAGATGCTCGGATCCCCTGAAAGTTCGGTGCCGTCGATTTTTCCACTGGTTGAACTTGGTTGAAGCACCAAATACATTCTCTGCGGTCAACTTGGCCAACTCCACGGCGAAGACTCGAAGCGACTCTGAAGTAGACTCGAAGCGACGACAAACGTGGCAGTTTCACGTGTTTGTCGTTGAAAAATAGAGATGGACGGTTTAAGATGAAGATCATGAGGATACAACGATGGGGTTTTGATAGTGAGAGAATGGGGATATAGTGATAAACTTGGCACCGATGGCTCACCACAAGCTGTGAGCTGGCGCAGGTAGCAACTGCAGTGGTACTGTGACAAAATGCACCCCCAATTCTGGGGTTCTTTGGACGTTCTGCTTGCGTGTCCTGACTGGAATTGATGTATTTGATGTAGCGGCGTACCAGTATCCGAAAGTCCTAATTTCAAGGCTTAGTCCCGTGTCCTTCTGTGCCACCCCTTGGGCTCCAGTTGGTAGTTCGATCATTTCACAGCGGATGCCGCTGCTGGAAATTGCTGGCCTTGTGGCCAGCCGGTTGGTGCCTCAAGCCTCAAAGGGGTGTTTCTGAGACCCTAAACATTGATACAAGCCATGATGCATTGATGTAAAATGATGTAACTGGATGATAAGTTCCTGAGATCTGAGATTGTGGTGGAAAATGGTGGTGAATGGTGGAAATCTCTGGCAGCTCCTTGTTCATGCCGAGGTCCCCATGGGCTGCGCGCTTAGCAGCAAAGTTGCCACGCCGGAAACGCAGCCTGAGGCACTGTGTTGAATCTTGCGGCTGAAAGCTGTTAGGTCGGTCAACCTGTTTGGTAACTTGACAGTTTTTTCGTGTGAAAGTTCAAGGGTCCCCTGCAAATGGCAGCACATTCTTCCCAGCTTTTTTTGGAGGAAAGGTCTGAAAGGTGTCTAAGCATCGCCATCTCAGCTGTGAGGTTCCAGATGCAGTGCAGCGCTTCACCCCGGAGAGCATTGAGCTAGAAGCCACAGCGACCTTCACGGCCTTCCAATCGCCTTCGGGCCAGAAGCGCTACCCCGAGGCATCGCCGGTGCGCCCTGGCTTCAGCCCCTTGAAGCCCAGCCCCTCGCTGAGCGCCAAGAGTCAGAGCAGTGCTCGAAGTCATCGGAGCCATCGGAGTCTGCGAGAAGATCTTCGTAGCACTTCGCCCTTTCGGCTCTCGGTCTTCTCAGCGACCGAGCGAAGCCTTCCAGGCTACGCTTTTTGACCTTTGAATACCTTTGAGCCAATGCATCACGGATCCTTTATTTGAGTTTTGTAAGTCTTGATGAGTTATGATCGTCAAATGAAACAAGTTCAAGAAGTAGGTATTTGATGGTTCCTGACCCGAACAGGTGACAGCGCTTTCTTGTGGGGCAGCCCTCAAGTCCTATTCCAACGGTTTCAGCAACCAACGGTTCCTGCTCGGGGTGAGAGTTTGTACGATAGCGACAGTGAAGGTGAGATTACCAAGTCCTCGCCATTGCGTCTCAAGAGTACTCACAGTTCCCTGGATTTTCTGAGTCCATGATTTGTTGATTTTCCCATGGGCTGATCATTTGATCCAACATGTGTGGAACTTCCAGGGAAGACTTTTTTTTTGGAGCCCCCGGCGACAAGGTTCGGCTTTTGGGTCAAGCATCTCGTTTTTGAAGTGGTCTGCTTCCAAGAGATGCTTCGATGCGAAGATCGCATCCGCCGGACCCCGCTGGGCACATCCACCGGAAAGGACGGTGGCCGCGGTGGCCAGCGCAGTGGGGCTCCCTGAGCGAACGCCAGAGCCACCCGAAGTTGGGGCCGAGGAGCGAGAGACCCCAGATGAGCGGAGGCGTCTTCAGAAATTGGCCGCCCGGGCCAGTGAGGCCTGGGAGGATCTGGCTGTTATGAACACACAAAAAGCTAGTTAGCTAGTTGATGAACTAGATGAACTAGGGAGATCTAGGGAGGAGTTTCTCCTGAATAGTGATGTTATTAAAATGGTGCCCTAGACAGCACAGGAGCACGGGGGTTTGTTAATGATACAACAGCTTTTTGGGAGACTTGTGTGCTTGCAGTGGGCTCTAAAAAATCTTCAGATGTTCCTCCCGCAACGCGGGTCAACGGTCTCCAATTGACCAGGTGAGAGAACTCCTTCGCCCAAAAATGAATTCTGAGGATGACCTCCAGCAGGCTGGAGAAGTTTCGTGGCTTCGATCTTTTTCACATATCCGACATATAATGATCGGATATGATCGGAATCGGCAGGTGACTGACCAAATGTCCCGTGCAATTCACTTCATTGCCGTGAGCTCAGAAGTTGCAAGCATGGTGCACATAGTTATAATAGGTTGTATCATTGCTATCTATAGGGACCGATAGTCCAAACTGTCCAAACTGCACAAGATCCCGAAACACGCAGAAACTGCGCATTTTCCATGGTCCTCAGGCTGAGTCGCTGCCTCATGCTGCAGAAACGCTGGGTGTCCAGCCGGTCGGCCTCGTCTTTCAGGCCCATCACAGATGAGAATAGTAATAAATATTGAATAAGACATAGATTGACAACAATGATGGGAAAAGCCAGGTGCAAGAAGGACATATGTCATGGCCGTCATGCTAACCCTCCCAATGATAGCTACTGAATAAGCCCTTCCTTAGTGGCCCTTTGATTCACCTTGATTCGGTGCAGGCCCTGCTGCTGCGGGCAGGTCTGGGTCGCGGCAATTTGACACAAGTGCCTTGAAGCAGGACCAGTGACTATGCAATGACAAACATGGGGATATAACCAAACAAATGGGGATTTGACCCTCGATTATTTTGGAAACAACAACTTGGTCTGACGTAAATCAAAGTGCTTCAATTTGAGATAAATTGAGTCTCTGTCCTTCCAGAACCATGGAAGTTGATGATTTTGTGCAAGGTGGAGCTAGAGCGAATCCTGGGTGAGGTGCTGGGCATGACATGGTGCGCTGAGTGACATTTGTCAGGTCCCATGAGAAAGTCATGCTTTGTAAGAGGACTCATAGGACTGAAAATCACCAGACCCAGCACCGCTGGACTAGTTCTGTTGAAGGATACGCCCCTTTTTGATGCAGCTAAATCAAGATCGTCCAAGGACGACATGCCAAACCCTTGGATTGAAAACCATGGTTGTGGACAACAGAAATCAAGACAATCCTTAACTTTTTGATAATGGATGTTTTCTCCAATGGAGGGTTGATGATCTCTACCAAGAATCTACCTGCGACTTGATAGGGCCAGGGCTTGACCTGCTAACTTCACAGCCAAAACCGTTGCTCTCACTTCAGCCCATACAGGGGAAGGTAGAGAAGTTGGCTTGGGCAGCCAGAGAGCTATGCGAGTTGCTGAGAGTGAAAGTAGAGGCTGGGGCTTAAAACCCGACGGCATGATCAAAATGGCACCAATAGCTACATTGACCACCTGCAATGAGAAGCAACATGTTTGTGGTGGACCTGGATGGGTGTCAGGACGATGGTGACCTCTCGCTTGCTTTGAAGGTCTTGGAGGATTGCGTCAAGGGCAGATGTTGGACCTGGTCTAATCTTTTTTGGTGCTTTCTTTCCCTTGCATCCAGGATTGCAAGCGATTTTTCCGTGCGCTGGCCCTTGTTGCGCAAGGCTGCCTGTGCTTGTCACCAAGCTCTTGTTGAAGCAAACAGTTTAGTTCTTGGTTTTGGCAGGATCTGGTGCTTTGAAAGGCCAATGAACACCAGTTATACATGACATGTAAATAATATACTATATACAGTATATATATATAACACGCACACACACACATATATAAATACGCATACAACAGACACATATACAGACACATATCAGACACATTCCCGTGCATATGTATATGTACATGTGTGCATGTATAGTTGCAATGTATGCAATATGTATATATATATATAGTGGATTGTATGCCAGTTCTATACCGGATATACCCCAGTAAATGATCCGTCATTTCACTGCAGACACTTGCGAAGGTCGAGGCACCTCCAGCTTTCAGTTACTGGAGGCAGCATACTTGGGGATGGTTGATTATCACTATCATCGTTGGGTATTATGATTATCCTTACCATCCGTGAATCAATGGTGGCAATGGGAAATCCCGCTACACACGGACATTTATGGACATCTACCAGATCTTCAATTTGAGGATTGTCCAGTACCATAACTACCAGGAGAGAATTCACCAAGGATGATCCACTGCAACGGAGCGATTCAGAGAGTTTTTCGACTTTTGCGCATGTCAGGACTTGATGAACATAGAGACTTGAAGGAGGCAGCTGGCTATGTCCTCATTCCACATTAGCAGCAACGCTGCTGCAGTGACGGAAAGATACGGAAAGTGTGAATGAGATGGTGACCTGCCACGTGTTGCTGCGTTTCTGAGGCCCGCAGCTGATGGTGCAGCTGGAAAGTTGATGCCAGCACAGCTCGCCTGCTGAATTCGTGCATCACAATGTACAGTTGTAGGAATTAGTTATGGAAGTCTGACAGCAAGACAGTCCTGTAAATGCGAGTGCTGGTTTGCCGTGGGATCTTCAGGCATTCCCTTCCTGATTCCTCTTTCTCAGAAAATTGATCAGCTCTTGATGATTGGTCCGAAATTTCCCGCAGCTTGCAGCTCAAAAACGAACATGCGGATGAGCTGCCCAAACTTGGGATAATTAGTAATTCACCTGCCCAGCCATATGGCAGGAGGAGTTGCAAGGCTGGTGGAGTTGGCATGAGCGGAAGAAAGAATGCAACTCGGCACAGCTTTTGAGGGTTGTTTTGGTGTACGAAGCGAAGCTCTGATTCGGAGCTCCTATTCTGCTGGTGGTTTCAGTATTCTTGATTTCAACCTTACGTGGGATGATAACCCCTATTTGTTGCCTATTTGTTGCCTATTTGTTGCCAGTTTTTACTGCGCCTGCGTCCCTAGGGCACCAGCCCAGACAGCCTTGCATGCAAAGAGGGAGCTGTGGACTGGGTACTTGCAGAAGGCCGCCTGCCCGAGGACGTGGGCATCGGGACAAAGCCTGACTGCAACTACAATGTACAAACTGCTCGAAACAGGTTGTTGGGGTTCTTATATTTTCAAAGGTTGGGGGTCAAGTATGACTTTTTGTGTGGCTAACTTTCAAAAAAGCAAGGCGCTTGGAGGAAAAACAACTAAAACTGCAGAGTTTGCACCCCAACATGTTTCAGCAAACATGCCTCCCATTTCATCCGTGCGCACATCGGAAGGCAGCCTGCACCCAGACTCCTCACGGCGGTTCAGTGAGGCCCCCAGTTTTGAGGTGCAGCACAGGCAGCTCTGATTTCACTCAACATCTTTTATGGCAAAATTGTCAAGTTGTTTTTTCCCCACTAGCAAACACGGGAGATTCACCGGTGCAACCTGGGTATGGCTTGCATAATTTTCTTCAGACCCAGGGGCCCACAATTCTTAGTCATTTTCTTGTCATTTGCTGAGGTTGTGGCTGCACAAGCGCTGCGTGCGGTTTGGCTGATAGGCAGCAAGCACCTTGAAGAGGCTGGGCCGTTCAGAGCCTTCTGCTCTTTCCCTAGAATTGGGAATTAGTTGACACTTAAATGGATGTAAATGCTTTAAGCTACCAAACATTGGTAAACAATGAGAAATTTACAAGAAGCTGGGTCAATAGCTGGGATTAAACCATGATACTCATTTTTTCACACTTCACCCAAAGTTATGGCAGCGAACACTCGAACGCTTCTGAAATGATCCACCAAGGTGACTGCTGTGCTCTCGGCCTGGCACCTTCTCACGGTGAATGCGAAGACCCGGCAATGCAGCCGTGAGGAGGTCGACCAACTGCAGGGGAAAACCACCGTCCACGGGTGAATCATGGTGAATCATGGTGAATCATGGTGATATAGTCATCAAAAACCTTGAAAGGGCTAGAACTGGGGGCAAGTTCAGAAGAAATTTGGGGATCACCTCAAGCACCTGAAGGATTCTGATCCTGAAGTGTGCAAGGCCTTTGGAAGGGCACTGTCGCAGCAGAACTCGAAGCTGGCAGCGAAGGCCTAGATCGTTTCATGGATGCATCGACTAGTTGGCGGTTTCAAGTACATTTTGCCATCTCGACTTGGGATGAAGATCCGGATTGACTAGCCTGGTTCAGGATTCAAACCATCAGCCACTACATGAATGATTTTCCCAGCAGTGAAGCTACATTGTGCCACGCGTGGCTCTCTGATTTGGGTCCGTGCAGGCCTTTGTTTGCTGGGCCTCAGCTGCTACTTGTCCAATCACGGGCATCCCAGGGTGCAGTCTACCCGCATCCCAAGGGAAACATGGGGGGTTCCCCCCATTGGATGGACATTTGCAAAACACAACTACCATCTGGTTATTTAACATAATTAGCCATGGAAAATGACCCATTTATAGATGGTTTACCTATTAAAAATGGTGTTTTTTCTATGGCTATGTTAAATAACCAGATGGTAAATAACATTCAGAAAATAGGTTACCCCATTCCGTTTGGTGATCATCTCCCCAGTTTTCATGGCAGGCTTCTATGGCCATGGTTGGCCGTTGCCGTCTGCAACTGCGGCAGCAGTTGCTGTTGCGCATTTGGGGCGCCTGGTGGAGTCAGGCGGCCCAGGCAAGGCTTCAATGCTTGGAGGCGCAGGCAGCTGGGATCTCTTCCAATTTCCCGGTGAACGCCATGAATTTGGTGCAGCATATCTATGTTAATGGATTGGTTTAGGGGAAAATTTACAGGAAAACCCCCTATTTAATGGTAAAAACCATGGTTTCCTGTAAATTTTCCCTTAAACCAATCCATTGACTATGGCAACATCTTGGGGAATGAGTCAATTCATGAACATGGGGAAGACCACCCAAGAAGTGTAGCCTTCGGCAGGTCGAAGTGAGAGATCATTGGTCAGCGCCTATGGAAGATCAAAGGGATCAAAGGCCTTGTGCAATGCTGTGACCGCAGAGGATGATGATTCCAAAACGCCCACTCTACTATTTTATTTAACTATTGGTTTAACCATTATTCATGTTCTGTACCCTGCTATTCATGCTATTCTGTCCCACGTAGCAGACCCTTAACATGGATGAAATATGGATATTGTGAGGGGATCACCCACTCTACATCCCACAGTGCGATGACATGCCAGGTTGGATGAGTACCCGCAGAGTTACACTGACAGCTGGAGCACAGAGATGAGCGATCAGACCACCTTGGAGCTGTTACAAGGCTACGGATTTTTACGTCTTTTCCCCAGATTTCCCCAGGAATTATTTTCAGAAACATATCCTCAAGGTATTGTGGTAGCAGGCAGCGAGCAAGCAAACCGGCCAGCTAGCCACCGAGCAAGCAAGCGCAGGCAAGCCAAGGAAGGAGGGAGGGAGGACAGCCAGCCAGACAGCCAGACAGCCAGGCAGCCAGACAGCCAGGCAGCCAGGCAGCCAGCGCGCAAACAAGCAAGCAAGCCTAACCCAATCCGAAATAAACACCGTGAACCTACCCTAAACACACCTTAAGACATCCTAAAACAAACACCGTGAAGCAAGGTGAAATAAACAACCCCTCTACACCAACCTTAAATAAACCCAAAACTAGCTCTTAAAAAATTCACCTAATTCCCTAAATCAATTTTAAGTAAACCATAAGCCACATGTAAAAAACAACCCTAAATCAAACCTAAACCACCCCTGAATAAACACCCAACACAGTCAATAGACCTAGAAGAGCACCTCAGCCAACCCTCTGAAGAACCCGAAAAAGCACCATAAACCAAGCTGGAATTGAATAAACCCTACCAAGCCCAAACAATCTTTAAACCAACCCCACATAAACAATCAACCATTCCCGGAAGAAATGCCACAAACGAAACTTAAACCAAGCATAAACCAACCCTCAATATAAACCAAGATTAAATAAACACTGGACACCAACCCTACACAAACCCTAAACGATCCCAAAATAAACCTTGAACCAACCCTGAACAGATATTCAAAAAAACATCAAACGAAACACCATAAACCAAACCTAAATCAACCCCAAACCAACCCTAAATCAACCCTAAACAGCCCTAAATCGAACCCTAAATCAACACAAAATAAACCAACCCAAAATGAGTTCAAACCAACGGTAAATAAACACCCGAAACCGACCCTAAACAAAAACTAAGCCAATCGCACATAGATTTCAAACCAGCCCGAAAGAAGCACCGCAAACGAGCCCTTAAAAAAAACAAAGCCAACTGTGAAAAGGCACCTTAGAATCTTAAAGCAAACATAACTAAACCATAAACCAACCGTCAAAAACAAATTCAAATGAAGCGTAAATCAAACCTAAACCAACCGTAAATAAGCACCTTAAACCATCAACAAAAACATTAAAGAAACATTACGACACATTAGAGACCCTCAAGAACACCTAAAAATTCTCAACCAGCTTTCAGTAAATTCTGAAAAACTTCAAATAAATCACAAGCGTATCCGAAAGAAACTGCATACCAAACCACAATAAACCACACTAAGTTAAAAGTAAATTCTAAGCCAACCTTAAATAAACCAGCCTTAGATAAACCACAAACAAACCTTACATAATCTTTTAGCAATCGTGAATGAGCACCCTAAACCAACGCGAAATGAAGCTACACCAAGAAGAAATTATGTAGCCCGAAACCAACCTTGAATAACACATCTTAAACCAACCAAAAACATTTTGAATCTTAAAGCCAACCCTGAACAAATTCAAACCACCCCAAATAAAAACAAAAACACCCCCATGCATAAAGAGATTTCAAACCAAACATAAATAAACCATAAACCTGCACCAGCTAAGCCCCCAAACAAACGCTAAATAAGTTTTTCTAAACTTACAAGAAAACACATTAAACACTCCCTAAATCAACCCCAAACCAAGTAAACTAACCCTAGAAACACCTAAAACAAATCCTTAAATACCAAACCAACCCGGAAAAAACACAAACCAAGCCTAAATCAACCATAAACCAACCCTAGACAAGCCCTAAACCAAGCGCAAATAGACACCAAATCAACACCAAACGCATTCAAAATGAACCATAACCAAACCTTAAATGAACCTTAAATCTGCCGCAAACGCGTGGAACACAAGGTCTTGCAAATCCTCCTGCAGGTTGGTGGTTGGTGATTGGTGGCTCGTGTCTTCTGCTGTAGAGCAGAATGCCTGAAAAAAAACAGGAAATCGGAAAAAAAATTACCTGGGGGAACCTGTACCCCCGTTACAAGGCGGGGCTTAGAACTGGTGAAACATCGAACATGTATATACATACACACACACACACACGGTGTATGAGTATGAGTATGGATATGGATATAGCTTAGATATTGACACACACACACACACGTGCATAGTCAGTCACACGTTTTGAAACATAGGGTCTCTCAGTTACTGTATTCTTCTTCTGACCACAACCCCTGCTAGGCACTGAAGGCCCAATGTATCTACAGGAGTTCGAGGAAAATCGTGCCTGGTATTTATTGGAGGCCGTCTTCCAGCATCAAACCAGAAAGAGTGGCCACCTGATCATGGAATTAGCTTTTCAGGCCTGGCGAAGATGTCACGTGGACGTGTTGGCCATAGCCCGGAGAAAAGCTGCTGAGCTGTTGAGCTGTCAAAGGATGAAGCAGAGAAGCTTCACTGCATGGGCTCGGCTTCGAAAAGAGCTAATGGTCTTAGAAGCCACATCTGACGTTGAAAGGATCAGCTTGCTGTGCACTGCCTGGCGGCAATGGCATGTCTTCACACAAGCTGGTCCCTTGGTGTCCTGGAAGCGCTTTGTACAATCAGGACTGCAGAAACTCAGACATCAAGCGGCTTTGGAGAGCTTGGTAGATGCGCTAGATGCGAGAGCCAGCAGAGCTCAAAACAGCCAAAAGGAAGCAACTTCTGGAGTGATGCACCAGCTTCTTACCCAAATGACCTTCATTGCGTGGAAGTCATGGTGGCAAACGGAGGCATATTGCAAGGAAATGGGTCAAGTCAGACAAGCTCTTGCAAGCACAGAATCCTGTGCAAAAGTCATGCTGCGTGACGTTGTCACAGACCTTCATTCAAACTATGATTCGCTCGGTTGCATGTTGATTTTCCGCAGTTGGTATTCCCACCTAGTGAGCCAGAAACTCTGGAGCTGCCAAAGAGGTTTCAGTGCATGGGCCCGGCTTCGAAAAGAGGGAATCCCAGAAGTCGCAGCTGACCTGGAAACAGTAACCTTGTTGTCTGCGGCATGGCGCCAATGGCATCTCTTTACAAAGACTGGTCCCTTGGTTTCTTGGAGGCGGTTGGTGCAGTCAGCACTGCAGAGATGGAGTCGCCAAGTTGCACTGGAGAGCCTTGTTGATGCACTAGATGCTCGCGCTGCACGGTGGCAGTTGGAGACATACAATCGAAGACCTGCTTTACTTTATGATGTGCTAGCAGAGATGTGGTCAGCATGGCGAGCTTTGGTTGGAGAGGGCGGCACAGGTTGTTTGGCACGCTGGCGACGTTTGGTGCTTGCGTTTCTTCGGAAGGAGCGCCATCAGGTGGCTTTGGAGAGCTTGGTAGACGTACTGGCAGCTGAAGCAGGCAAGGACTTTGATCTCCTTGAGATAGATCTCGGGCCTGAAAGCCCAATGGCCAACCTGTCGGACCTGGGTCTTGTTTTTCATTGTTGGAGATTAGCAGCTGGACATCATTTCACGCAAACAAGATATAAGAGTGCTCTGACTGAGTTGAAACTGCGGGATGCGAATTGGTCGCAGTTGCAGGCGGTGTTTCTGCAGTGGGGACTTGTAGTCAGGTCCATGCGACGTGCATCCATACGCAAATCCTTCATGAGAGGCCTGGAAACAGCAATGCGCTTGCAGCAGTGCTGTGAGAGTCAGGTGCAGCGACAATGGCTGTTGCACTGCACGTTCTGGACTTGGCGTTCATGGTGCGCTGGATCCAGACCCAACCAGCTCCAGGATTACGTGTTTCAGACAACATCTGACTTGTCTCCCATCCATCCCTCTGAAGGTAGGCCACAGCTGTCCATGGAGGAATCAATGTTGAGTTCGACCTTTCTTAGTCCCAAACAACCCGAGGAAGAAGAAGTACCGACCGAGTTGGTAGAACATGGTGGGCAACCTGAGGAAGAGCAAGCCCCACCTACAGTCTTTCAGCCTTTCATCACGCCCACGTCACATACACGAACAGATTCTGCAGAGGGCCCAATAGTGGACAGGTTGGACTTATTCGATCAGTTTGATCTAAAGCGGCCTGAGCCTGTCCCGGCACGAGAAGAAGAGATCCAGAGGAGGATCTATTTGAAGCGGCATTTCTTCCTTGAAGGTGTAATGCGCAGGTGCGAGACGACTTCATTTGTGACCTAATAATGCTCCCCGCTGTGTTTGACGAGGGGAATGTCCCGCAATTGCATACCCCAACAACCTCGAGCATGTAACTATGGAAAGCATTTGGCTTCCGCATCACGATTTCCTGTGCTGTTTGCTAATGCGGGGGTTCTGGTTGATTGCAACATTCTGTCACATTCTACAGGTTGCACGTGTTACAAAATTTGAATGCACCCAGACACACACACATACACACATACACACATACACACATACACACATACACACATACACACATACACACATACACACATACACACATACACATACATACACACATACATACACACACATACATACATACATACATACATACATACATAATACATACATACATACATACATACACATACATACATACATACATACATACATACATACATCATCATACATACATACATACATAATCATACATACATAATCATACATACATAATCATACATACATAATCATACATACATAATCATACATACATAATACATACATACATAATCATACATACATAATCATACATACATAATCATACATACATAATCATACATACATACATACATACATACATACATACATAATCATACATACATAATCATACATACATAATCATACATACATACATACATACATACATACATACATACATACATACATACATACATACATACATACATACATACATACATACATACATTACATACATTACATACATTACATACATTACATACAATACATACATTACATACATTACATACATTACATACATTCCATACATATACATTACATACATTACATACATTACATACATTACATACATTACATACATTACATACATTACATACATTACATACATTACATACATTACATACATGACATTACATGACATTACATGACATTACATGACATTACATGACATTACATGACATTACATGACATTACATGACATTACATGACATTACATGACATTACATGACATTACATTACATTACATTACATTACATACATACATACATACATACATACATACACACAGACAGATGTTTGTGAAGACGAGATTCTGAGATAGAAGCAAATTATTCCATCCTATTCCCCATGTATTTTGCTCAAAACTTTGTTTTCGATTTCTTTTGATCTACTTAGTCTGCTTTTCCTTTCTCTTGCGACCAAGAATCCATCCATCAGGTGGCGGAGCAACGCGCTTGCGGCCGCCAAGCAAGCGCCGGAGATGACAGCGTCGTTTTGCCCTCAGGGGTGTGATGCCTGGGGGATGTTGAAGCAATACTGGTGGTGTAACCAACAATGAAGGGGGGTGTATCATGATACACACACACAGACATTGTATATATATATATACATAATCTATTATATATACATATATTTCATATTTAGAGATATAGACAAAGATATATATGCCCTACCTAATATGATCTGGGTCTGAAAATGGTGATTTAGCCAGCAATAAATGGTGGTTTAACCAACTGCAATGAAGAAGTAAGTGCCCACAAGATGATATGAGTGTGTCTGACAATGGCTTTGGATAGCTCGAACTTGTAGGAAATTGTCAGTTGAATGGAGAACATATTGGAAAATTAAATTACGATCGACCATGACATTTCAGGGTACCTTCTCAGACAAACCCAGTTATTTTGAATATCACATTGAGATTGGAGATGAAAGATGGTATTATCAGCATCGGAGTGAAGTTTGGCCATGCTTTTTGTTCTCTTCAGAAGTTGCCCATGAATACCCAGCTCAATTGTTCTGGTGTCTTGACAAGCTCTTGAGCTTGGATGCCGCGCATGGGCTCACAAAAGGAGTCCTGTATCACAAGTTTCTGATTTCCTTCTGGGGCATTTGAGAGAGCTTGCATGACAGCACGCCCCGCAGCTTTTTATTCAAGACCAGCTAGGTGGTACTCCAAACACTGCAGTAGCTCCACAATCGCTATGCTCCTGCACTTAGAATTCCTGTCAGGAAGGATTTTGGAAATGCAGGTGACGTCCAGGTGCACAGTAAATGAGCTGCGCTTCCGCTGTCAGGATCTTGACTTGCTTTCTCTAGGCCAGTTGCCTGGATACCTCACACTTAGGGAGGTGGGAATCAAAGATCGAGATAGGCTGCAAGTGGCCAGGCGCAGGGTAGCTGAGGAGATCATTGCTTCCACCCTGGATTCCTTTGCCCTGGTCCGGGCAGATGGTTCGGTGGTCACCTGGGGATGTCCTGAACACGGAGGTCGCAGTTGGCATGTGCAGGATCAGCTGTTTGATGTGATTCGACTCGTCGCTTCTGATTCAGCGTTTGCGGCTTTAGGGGCAGATGGTCAGGTCGTTACGTGGGGGAATCACGGATATGGTGGTGATAGCCGTCACGTTCAGCAACAGCTCGTAGATGTGACGCGGCTTGCTGCAAACCAAGGGGCATTTGCTGCGGTTCTGGCCAGTGGGCGGGTTGTAACTTGGGGCAATGCCAGCCGAGGTGGAAACAGCAAGCGAGTGCAGTCGCATCTACTGAGTGTGCGGAGCGTGACAGCTACAAGGAAAGCATTTGCGGCGCTCAGAGAGGACGGATGTGTTGTGTCATGGGGCCGAAAGACCTATGGCGGTGACTGCAGGCAGATTCAGGAACAGTTACAGGACGTCCAAAGTATTGTTGCCACTGAAGGTGCTTTTGCAGCTATCACATCTGAAGGTCGAGTGGTTACATGGGGTGATGTGACTCGAGGTGCTGACAGTCGTGCAGTACAGGATCAGCTGGTGCATGTCAGCTCCATCGCAGCATCCAGCTATCTCGTTCTCACCTCCTTCGTGGTGATGGCGGGCTTGGCATATTTGCTGAGTGCGAAGGGAACTCCAAAGACTTTGTGTGATTCAAAAAGAACAAATGAAGAAAAGAACAAGAACAAGAAAAGAATAAAAGAAAATGAAAAAAAATCACAAAAGAATTGATGAAAAAAGCGACAGTGTGGCCGGTGAGCCCATCAAGAATATGAATGTTGACAGAGCATTACAAGAGGCCGAAGAGCCCAAAAATAAGGGTCGGTACAAATGTCCGCGGGTTTTTGGTTGTTTGGGTCGGATGTTCTCCTTCCCTCTGTTGGCTGTGCTGTTGTGGTTTTGGTTTGTTCCTGTTGCTGTTGCTGGCTGTTCACCGACGAACTCTACCAGCGACCCGACTGCAATTAATTCACCTTCCTTACCCACAAGCCTCTTGGATTTGCAATTTGGACTTAGCCTAAATGGCTCCCGGGGCGTGGGTGGGCAAAGCAATGGCAGTGAAGTGGCAGCGCTTGGATGTGACAAATTTGCGTCTTTTGCTGCTGCTGTTGGCACTGCGCCGTGGCCCGGCAATAATCTCTCTTTTGGTGCCTCTTGGCAATTCACTGGCGACGGCTGGTTTGACCCTAGTTGGATTGGAAATTCCTCTGGGGATTTTGGAGATGCTGTTTTGGTTATAAGGAGCCATCCGCCTTGCTGGGGCTGGTTGATTTTGGGAGCCTCTGGTTTTTTTGGGGCTGGGCTGTTTGGTGGCTTCGTCAAATCCAAAAACAAAAAAGAAAGAAAAGAAGGCAGCAACAGAAGCATTGCTTCCTTAGAAAAAAGACTTTTCCCAAGCCGATGGCAGCCGGAAACGTTGCTTTCAAACATGTAGATGGGTTGGGTGTATGCGCCAACCACATGCCAGATTGAAAAATCGACGCATTGCTCGGACCTTGCGTGCTCGCAGGTTATTTTTTTGGCTTCAAGGAAAGCATTTTGCTAAGACAGGCTGGTTGCAGAACGAAATGCGCAGAAAGTTTTGTGGTTCTGTCCGTGAGGGTTCGTTTGCTTCTCAAGCGAATGTTGTGCAAAAAGCCTCTCAAAGGCCTCATGTCAGTAGGCTGGTCATGTTTCGAGGTGGTGCTGCTGGTGCAGCAGCGACGAAGAGACGAAGACAAGAGTCATTTCTAGTTGATGGTTTGAAAAAACTCCTTTCCTCTTTAAATGACTTCAACGATGACAATGAGAGCCCTCAACACAGAGGGCGTCCGTCAGTTAGACAGGAGACTACCTACAGGGATGTTTCGCCTGCGTCTTCTTTGTCCAATAGGAGCCGTAGTCCCAGTCCTGAGTGGCAGGTCAAGGGAAAGAAAAACAAGGGAGCGAAGGGTAGTGGCTTGGGCAAAGCCCCTTCCGCCTCTTCCGCTTCATGTGCGGGAGGGAAAGGGAAAGGCCCTGCTCCTTTGTCCTCTCAGCGCAAAGTCCACTTTGAGGAAAATGGTCAGACTAAGGATTCCTCTCTTATTGCTCAACTCAAGGCTATTGTTTTGGCTGCTGAGACGCATGGCACTGGGGACCTCATCAATCAATTGCGCGCTTTGGTACAACGCTGGTCGGAAGCTGAGATTAAGACTCCTAGCCAACCAACTGGGAGGCCCAAAAATGCACAGCCCAAGAGCCATGCCTCTCCTCGAGGGCCTAAGTCAAATTCTTGGCCAACTGTTTGCAAGAATTGGTGGAAGGGGGATATTGCACGCCCCACTCAAGTGTCTAATGCCTTGGAGTCAGGGGAGGAACCGTCTGGGTCCTTGGTTGTTTCTAGCATTGAACAATGTCTTAATTTTCGGATTCTTGCGGAAGCTCACAAGATAACCAAAGAATTTTGCCTTGTGTGTGCTGATTTAACGGATGCCACTTTGGCTGCCAAGCATGGATGTGTGGCTCAGTGGATCAAATTGCAAACTGGTCGTTGGAAGCAAGTTTGGGCACTTCCCCTGAACAAAAACTTCCCAACTTGGCCGGTCACTCCCAAGTCCGTTTCTTGTGTTGAGGATCCGGTTGAAGTTCCATTGGTCACTGTTCGTGTGACCTTTTCTAAGCAGTTTCTCAGTTCGTCCATGTGGGACCTTGCTTTGCAGAAGCCTGTCGAAGTTTTGAAATTATGTTTGCCCGATGGTATTTTTTTGAGGACCTATGGTTGGCATTATATTCAAAAGGAAGAGGTTGTCATGGGTTTCATCAGGACCTCTGAAGAGAATGCTGTCACGATTGTCAAAAAATCGGGCGCCAAGCATGCCTTTTGTGCAACTGTTGGGGATAAACCCGCCAGGCAACCTGTCAAGTGGTTGGCTAAGGAACAAAACATGACCAATGCTCAGTACCTTGCTCAGGCCCGGAAAGAGGCTCGTGATGTTGACGCAGGAATTGCTCCGCGTAAAGGCACCAAAAGCTGCTTGGGTATCATAGGGGTTCAGGATCAAAACTCTTCGCAAGAGCTTCTTGTGAAGCGCTGGGCTGCCAGAGGTGTACCTGCCAATTGGATACCCTCACAATTTGAAGACACTCTCACGAAGCATGGATGGAGGGTTCTGTCTGATGCCCAACCCCCGAACAACAAAGGTGGTATTTGGACGTATAAAGGCGCCCCCCCCAAAGATTCCACGGAGGCTGGCATGATTTTATGCCTTAAAAATGGGAAGCAGATTTTGATTAATCCCTGGGTTGCCAAGACCAAAAAACCGGTTTGTACGCCTCTGCATGCGAGAAAAAGCTGGCTCACTGTCGTTGCGGGAACCAATGACAGCAAAGACAAGGAGCAAGATGAGCCTATGGCTCCTACAATTCCTGACCCTCCTGAGGATGGTGCTGAAGCCACAGAGGGAGGTGCTATGGATGATGTTGGAAAGACCGGCAAAAGAAACACTGATGAAAGGCAGGTTATCAACACACCTCCCAAGCACAAAGTGCCAAAGACGGTCCCTGGAGGTTTTGATGCTTTGGATGATTCTTCCGCTTTGGGCCCTTCCAATGTTCCCATGTGGGACCTTGGTGGGGCAGGTGATTGCGGCTTCAGAGCGTTGAGTGCTCAGGTTGCTTTCAGGAATAAAATGGAGTTGCCAGAAATAGAGCGCAAGATCACCAAACTTAGCCTCTCTCTCCGAGCAAAAGCTTGTGCGCAACTTAGCTCTCAAGATGGTTGGAAGGCATCTTGGTTTAACGACCCGGAAGCCACCGTTCAGACTGAGGCTGGAGCAGTTGCTGAAACAGTTGAAGAATTTTTGAAAGTTATCCAACGGGGAAAAAAGTGGCTGGACCCCTGGCTTACTCAGGCCTGTGCCGAAGTCCTTCAGACGGAAGTCATGGTTTGGAAATACAGAACACTGCAGTCCAAGTGGATTTTTTTGACTAGAAGTCGCCCTCAATATATTCGTAATTCGGTTCCTCTTGTCCTTTTCCTGAAAGATGGGCACTTTACGACCC